GGCGGGCGGGCGGGGGGAGGGGGGAGGAAAGGGGAGGGGGAGCTGGGTGCTGTGTTGGTTTTGTTGGTCGATCTCTTCTCCTCTCCTCTCCTAGACTAGGCTAGGCAAAGGCAAAGGCAAAGGCAAAGCTAGTGGACCGAAGAAGAAAAAACCAGCCTTGGCGGATTTGGTGCGGCTTTCCTCCTCCTGGCTAGGTATACTAGTCCTATGCAATGCAATGCACCCTTTTCTTTCCTCCCCTTTCTCTTTTCTTGTTATGTGCTCTTTCTTTTAGGGGAAAAATATCTTTGAGATGATTGCTAGGCATTTTTTGCAACGACTTGGTGATCAAGAAATACAATCATGGGCGAGAAGCTGAAGATTTAATTTTATTAATAGAACTGTTAAAAAAGAGATCGTACGGAGAAAACTATGATGTGGATATATTGTTGGATTAAAAAGTGCACAGAAAAGAGTACAGGTCGTCCTCCGGTCAAGCACATACGTTACGTCATCGTCTTCGTGACATCAGAATCAACCACACTCCATTCTACGGTTTATTATTTATGTATTCATTCTTCTCATGACCAATATGACTTCTTCTTCTTCTTCTTCTTCTTCTTCTTCTTCTTCTATTACCCAAATGTTGCACGATAGAGTTTTTGTCTATCATAATAATGTCACAATTCGGTCACTCAATTTTCAAATGGTTACAGTTAGGGTTCGTCACCTCCAACAAACGGCATGAATTGATCCAAGGCCGGGTGGGTAGGTGGATCATCGATCCACATAGTCTAGTAGAGCGGTGTGGCCGAGGAGATGGAGCGCGGAGGGGGAGAACGGTGGTGACCACAATGGGGAGGTAGGAGAAATCCTAGATGGTTTGGCGGGTGGAAAGGGTGAGGGAGTTGGGTGATGTGTAGTTTTGCTGGGTGGCCTCTCAAGGGGAGGACCGAGGAAAGCTAGCTAGTGGATCGGAGAAATCATCCTTGACGGCATTGGTGCATGAATGCACCCCTTTCCTTTGTTTTCTTCCTATGTCATTGTTTCATAAACGAAAATTGCGAGATAAATTTTTTTACATGTGCTATCATTGGGGGATTATTTCCTTGGAGGAAGAGCAAGGTTTATCATCTATAGGGATGGCAGTTTTGTCCATGGGTATGGGTACCCGCGGGTACCCTATCCGAAAATATCGGGCATGGATGAGACTTTTTAACACTTCATACCCATAGGTATGGGTATCCATACCCGCAAAAAGCATGGGTAGGATATGAGTATGAAATTATACCCATGGGTAACCCAATAGATACCCAGAAAATAAATAAATAAATTGAACACTATAATATGTGAGTAAATAATTATCTTGAGTTCTTAACTAGCCCGCAGGACCATAGGTCATAGCCGGCCATCGCCCCAGTACTATCTTCTCTGCTTTTCCTTGAAGCAATCAAGAGTCGGGTTATTGAATCCTCGTCGATTCATCCCCAAGCAAGGCTATATATTGTACCCATCGGATGGGTACCTGAATTTAGACCTTTTTCTCATCTTACTTTTGTCATGTCAATGCTATATATTGTACCCACCGGATACCCATTAGGTATAGGATACCCGATGGGTATGTGCATGGGTACCAATTTGCGCCCATGAATAGTGAAGTGGGTGGGTATAGAAAAAAATTGGGTATGGGTTTGGGTAGAAAAGTGGCATACCCGCCCATACCCTACCCATTGCCATCCCTAATCATCTAGTAATGTGATGGTTGAGAAATGCAATTTTGTTATTAAAATAATATCTCTGGGTTCGAAGTTGCCTTTTTAATACCAGAACATGTCTAGAAACTATATGAAGAGCTAATGATCAAGATATTTGGTCATGTTAATAAGAAAAATGAATGTACGCGAAAGAGTACACCTTGTCAATCTAAAAGAATCAAGACAATACATCTTCGTGTATGAGTTTGTATTGTATTTCTTAAAGATTTTTTGGTTTGTTCCAAGATGATGCCAATGAGTACTACTATTACTACTTCTAACTCTTTGAGTTGATATAGGTTTATGCTTTCTTCGAATTTAGGTATTTCCATTTTCGATCTTTTAGCTTCTACTGGTATTGGTGGCTAGATGTAAGTGACTGGGATGGTTGCAATATTTTTCAAAAGTGTTTGCTTTAGCCTTTATCTTTAGGAGCACAATGCTCAGACAATATCTCCTTTTCACGATTCATTTACATGTCTCTAGCCAAGTATCAAATGTCACAAGTTAGTCACATCGTTGTCACATGGTCGAAATAATTATCTTCAAAAGGAGTTTTCTTTCTTTTCTTGAACATAGTATAATCATAAATGATCACACACACGAACATACATTCACTCCTATATACAGTGGCGTAGTCAGGCCCCGGTAACAGGGGCCTTGGTGCGGGGCGTGGCGGCAAGATTGTTCATTGACGTTAGATATAGTGCTGCTACACACTGTATCGCTGAGCTTAGCCCGGGGCGTGGTGCTGCGCTGGCTACGCAATTGCTCCTATGAACGCGTGCACGCACACATCCTATCTCATGAGCACCTTTCAGATACCGAGCCAACACAATATCTTGAGATTGACGAAGTCACCACATGCGCCTTCGTAGTCAAAGTGAACGCCTCCTCCCATTGAAGGAACATCATTGAAAAGTCCAAAAAAAAATCTAGAAAAATACGAGCATCAGTGTCAAGTCTAGGACTTAAACCTGTTGGGTTACGTAGTAATTTCAAAAAAATTCCTACGCACACGCAAGATCATGTGATGCATAGCAACGAGGGGAGAGTATTGTCTACGTACCCAACGCAGACCGACTGCGGAAGCGATGACACGACGTAGAGGAAGTAGTCGTACGTCTTCTCGATCCAACCGATCAAGCACCGAAACTACGGTACCTCCGAGTTCGAGCACACGTTCAGCTCGATGACGATCCCCGGACTCCGATCCAGCAAAGTGTCGGGGAAGAGTTTCGTCAGCACGACGGCGTGGTGACGATCTTGATGAACTACAGCAGCAGGGCTTCGCCTAAACTCCGCTACAGTATTATCGAGGAATATGGTGGCAGGGGGCACCGCACACGGCTAAGGAATTGATCACGTGGATCAACTTGTGTCAACTTGTCTGTTTAGAGGTGCCCCTGCCTCCGTATATAAAGGAGGAGAGGAGGGGAGGCTGGCCGGCCAAGGGGGGGAGGCGCAGGAGAGTCCTACTCCCTCTGGGAGTAGGATTCCCCCTCCAATCCTAGTCCAACTAGGATTCCTCGGAGGGGAAAAGAGGAGGAGGGGGCCGGCCACCTCTCCTAGTCCTAATAGGACTAGGGAAAGGGGGGGGCGCAGCCCAACTAGGGCAGCCCCTTCTCTTTTCCACTAAGGCCCACTATGGCCCAAATAGCTCCCGGGGGGTTCCGGTAACCCTCCCGGTATTCCGGTAAAATCACGATTTCACCCGGAACACTTCCGATATCCAAATATAGGCTTCCAATATATCAATCTTTACATCTCGACCATTTCGAGACTCCTCGTCATGTCCGTGATCACATCCGGGACTCCGAACAACCTTCGGTACATCAAAATGCATAAACTCATAATATAACTGTCATCGTAACCTTAAGCGTGCGGACCCTACGGGTTCGAGAACAATGTAGACATGACCGAGACATGTCTCCGGTCAATAACCAATAGCGGGACCTGGATGCCCATATTGGCTCCTACATATTCTACGAAGATCTTTATCGGTCAGACCGCATAACAACATACGTTGTTCCCTTTGTCATCGGTATGTTACTTGCCCGAGATTCGATCGTCGGTATCCAATACCTAGTTCAATCTCGTTACTGGCAAGTCTCTTTACTCGTTCCGTAATACATCATTTCACAACTAACATATTAGTTGTAATGCTTGCAAGGCTTATGTGATGTGTATTACCGAGAGGGCCCAGAGATACCTCTCCGACAATCGGAGTGACAAATCCTAATCTCGAAATACGCCAACCCAACATCGACCATTGGAGACACCTGTAGTACTCCTTTATAATC